CCACCATTTCTCCTTCAACCTCCTGTCTTAAAATCTGGAGGAAAGACCTGCTGTTGCTGTTAACGTCTATTCTATGTACATGTTGGGGGAGTGGGGAAGATGTAAAATGAAAGTTTAGTTTGTCTTTTGCACCAGACTCACGGTTGTCCACAGTGCACACAGTTCAGCACATCAAGGAGGACAAGTCCTGTTAATTTGAAGAAGTTTTACACAGGCAACACTCCTTCCCCAGAATGAGAAAGGTGGTGTTGCATACTTATGGTGTTGATGCATTTCTTGTGACCTTAAAGGCTATGGGTATGTGACTACATGTTTTTCACAGTGCCAGACAGTCTGTGCCAAGAGTAGGTAAGAAGTTGCAGAACAGCTTTTTCCTTCACATCGTATGGTGGCTCTGACAGTTCATGAAAGCGTTGGATTTCCAGTAATAATATATTTACAGCTAAGGTCGTCGTCTACAAGATGGGCCACCTTTGTCACGTGCATAATGTTCTATTGTGTCTTTGCGTGTTCAAGATGTGGAAAGTTCCTCTGCACTTGTTTTGACCAAAAAGGTACCTGTTTGTAACAATATACCTGTTCAGTATTGTATGCATGTGTATGTGTATATGTGGGCATACATATAGACACAGTCACACATGACACAATGTGAACAAAATGGCTGTGTAGCTCATGCAACTTCTACTCACATTGTCCTAGCACAGCTTTCTGGGGTTCATAAACTATATTTATGAGATATTTTTAATTAGTTACTGTTAGTGTGTCTGAAGTTCTTTGTTCAAGTTGGTTGTTTTTTCATGTCATACTAATGTATTGTAAGCTGGAACAGGATAAAAATCTGCATTAATAGAGGCAGGCTGAGGCATGGAGATTGGGTTACCATCTCTAGGTAGCGAGGAGAGGTGGGTTCCGGTGCAGCATGTAGCCTGTGCCTGGATGCCTTGTTTATAGGCCTTTTTTCACCGTTGCTGAGATTAAGCAGATAACAAAACAGTAGCAATTTTAACAGGGTGTCAGCCTGCAGTCAGTTAGCTTTGCACTGTTCATTATTGTAACTACATTGCCTTGTAGGTTACATGTTCTTCAAGCCTGAGATGCTTTCCTTGGCATTGACATTCAGAAGTCATTTGGGATTTGTTTCAGGATTCCTATGCATGGTCACGGGGATATGGATTGTTCTCTAAAGCCTTCTTCAGATCTTAAAACAGAAAATACTTTCAGAAGGCTGTGGCCACGGTTCTGTAAGCCCCATAACCCTCCATTAGCACAGGCCTTTGGCATTTGGGCTGGAATCAGGCCTTGCTACATCTAGACATTAATCAACATTTTGTGGGTATTTGCTGTCCATTCCCCCTCCCCACACTGACTCAGACGGGATTTAAACCGTAATGGTTCTTAGTTCTGACTTCCAGCTATCCTTCATGCTGGCACCTGCCAGTTTTTTCCTTGAACTAGTAGATGTTGATAGTCTGATCCAATGGCAGCTTCAGACAGCAAAAGACCACTTTGTAATTGACTGCACCAGTGCAAATCAAAAAAAGATTTTATAACTTCCAGATGAAGGGTCCCCATTGCTGTTACCATCCACCTGGATTGGGCTAACCCTTCTTCATGGCAGAGCTATGCGATTCCCACCTGCACTCTGAGGTTATTAAACCACAATGCAAATGCAGCTTTTTGCAGCCCTCCCTCCCCGCCCCACCATCATTCAAGCAGTAGTCACATTGATTTCCTGGGGTTTTGAGTGCATCTCTGTCTACAGAGTAGTTTTGTTGAAATGAAGCTATTCTCCCTTATAGCAAAAAAACTGCAACCAGTTTGCTTGGAGGCATATGTTTTTACAAGATCTATCCAGAAAAGTTTCTTGGTCCTGCAGTAGAACGTTTTTCCTCTATTCCAGATGCCAGGTTGCTGGCAAGTGAGCCAGAGGAGGTTTGATAGAAATACGCTCTTACAGAGGCATGCTTTTCTACCGTGTTTCAAAGCAGTTTCTGTATTTTTTGGATCCAGCGCTGTTCTTGAGTTTTGTCATAGCCTTTACTGGAAACAAAATCAGACTGCACATCTTGGAATTGTCCTGGGAAAAGGTCTTTCCAGGTGAAAAACTGTGAATATAATCCCACGTTAATGATGCACTGAGAAGAGTAGACTCTAAACATTCTGTTGTCACGAATCTGAAATGACCATTGAACTTTAGAGGGAGTCAAAGTGAGGTCATTCCAAATAAAAAGTGTTTCACTAAAATCCACATAGGGTCATTAGAAAAGGTTACAGCAGCGCACTTTTTCCTCACTCCATTTTTTTGCTTGCTGATTGCTGCCAGGAATATTTTAGTCCCCAGCCAAAAAGGTAGAATTGCTGATCTTTTGTTATATATACTGTGTAAACTGTCTGAATTCAAATGTACCTGCAGGAGCCCACATGAAGGAAGCCTGAAATTACCCTAAACCGTGTGGGGCAGATTTTCAGAAACAGGTGACTGTGTGCAATCCTGTACAAGACCCCAAACACATTAAGTGCAGTGTACACAAAATGATGCAAATTTACATGCTTTTGCAGGCACAGGCACATGGATGTTGTGCATATGCATTTCTCTAGTTTAGGAAAATGCAGCCTGTGAAGAATAAGTTTGATCAGACAGTATAGTTCTAATCTGGGAACACTTTAGTCTAAAACATGCTTTTGAAGATCAGCTGATGTCTTGGCTGGTTCCCTCCCAATCCTGTTGAAGTGAGGTGTGTGCTAATCTAGTTCACACAGGTTCAAAACCTTTCCACTGTGGTAAGGTCATCAGCCCCTTTTACTGTGCTTATCATTAGTATACCTAAGAGCCTGAGAACTGCTGCATGATGAAAGCCAGTTCTGAAGAGGGTAAAGTTATACCCATGTGGAGAGTTGATGAGTCCAAATCACCAGTTTGTACTAAGGGAAAAGCCTACATTAACTTTAAGTGGAGGTTTTGAGTGAGTAAATGCAGTAGAATCCTCCTGCTTATGACTAAAATAATCCTAATCACTTGCTTGTCCCATTTAAAATGACAGAAGTAATGCAAAGCACCCCCAGACAATGGTTTTGTAATGTAATTTAGTCTCCCTGTTTCTCAATGGTTCATTAATTAGATTGGCTGTTTGATTGCTGTATCTTTCACAGCTAAGAAAACTATAGTTGAAGGAGAGGCAACCACAGCTAGCAGTCTGGCACTTAAGCTGTTTTAGTGCTTATAGGCATGTATTCACGTACCTGTCTGCTCCGACCTGCCACAAATCCAGCCTGGCAGAGCAGACTCAATTAATGGAGTCTGCAGAGCATGCGAGCTGATGTGCCCAGATACATTTGTATAAACAGTGAAATGTGTCAGCGTGCAGAAAATGGAGACCGTGCACTTTTGACTAAAATACCTTCAATGTGTTAAAAAATGCACCACCGCCATTTTCTCAGCACTGACGCACATTTCGCCATTTATACAAATGCATGCATCGCAATACCAGCACTTCTAAAATTGCCCAGTGCTGCAGCGCATGCATGTGTAGAAATGCCCTGTGTTCCCAGTAGTGACCACATCCTGTGCTTCATAGATGGACCTGAACAGATGGACAAGGCTGACATATTTTATATTAGTTGATGTTTTGTTATATACCATTATCTAAATAAACAAATAGTTATGTGGGAGTAAGGTTCAGAAGATTGGTTTATTAACTTGAACTAACTATAGATCAAATCCAGAAAAGTATTTGAGTGCCTAGCTCCTGTTTAAAAGCCTAACTTATGTTTCTGCATCTGGTCCTTTGTGTATATGAGCTGGAGGAAAGCATGTCACTACACTTAAATATCCTCATTCCAGATAGCCCTTAAAAGTGCCTTAACCAATTAGGTTGTGGTCATGGTTACTCTCTCTAACCAGTGACTGTTTTGGTAGCTAAGGAAATGTGGAGCAATGTCAACAAGGAGTGAGAGATTTAACCCTTTTAGTTTTATGGCTGCAGCATTCACTCAGGAAGTGGAATGGAGATAGGGGAGAAGCAAACCTGGGTGAGTGTTATAACCAAGAAGCTATTCAATAAAAGGAAATTAAGGCTACTACCACCTCCAGCAGCAGGTTTGAGTTAGTGGGCTTTGGAGGAGAGGAAGAATGCTTAGGCCCCGGATCCCATTAGGAGCCTAGTTGCTCAGCCTGCTAGGTCATTTGGCTGGCAAAAACAGAGAAGTGGGATTTACATTTTGGACTTGGGTTGCTGTCCTTCTGTGAACCTTGCCTGTAATGTACACACAGTACATCTCTGGTGTTTACCCTATTTATTGTGGAGTTGTATGTCAGTCTGCTTCTATTTACGTTTGGCTACAGCATGTAATTTATTATCACTTGTTTTAGTTACAACTTAGGCAGACTAACTGGATTGTGACAGGGAACCTGAATTCTCTGAGGAAAAATACTAGTTCAGTTTCTCAACATTTAAGATACTAGGATAGACATTTAGTGATGATGTAACAAACCAGTAACATAAAAAAGTCGAAGCCTCAACATAAATTGAAGAGTATTTGTAGGAGACAGTGTTAAGTATCTGACAAAGAACTGTGGGGCTCTCTGAATAACCCCATCAGCTTATCAGGGCTACTTTTCCTCCAGCATGCTCCAGAAGCTGTATTTTCTATTTACTGTTAGTACAAAAAGCATCTATTAAGTTTCTGATATTCTACCATCCTAAGGTAACGTTAAAAGTTTTGAAATGTTGCTTTCTGGTACAAAATGTTACTTTATAGAAGTGCTGCTTAACCTATGAAAATCTTTTTATGATAAAACCTTGGATGTGGTTTTGTTCAGTAATAGACTTACTATTTTGTACTAGGGAAAAATCTCTATAAACAAATTCAGTCTGTTTTCTTATGCTCTGAGATGGTGTCAGCACCTGTTCTCCGTTTGGGATTTTATTAAACAGAGCTATCAAGACTAGGGTTGGGTGCTCAACTGGTCATGAGTCAAAAATTGTAAAAAATGGCCAACAGGTCCAAATAAACACACAGAAAACACATTTTTCCATTAAAAATTTGTCAAAAAAAATTTTTAAATCATATTTCTGTCAAGAAAACTACAGGAAAAAAATGCAGGGTTTTTTGTAAAATTGCTATAATCTTTGACCTGTCGACTGACTGGCTTGCCAACCCTAATCAAGACGATAGCTACCATTAAGTGAGGCTTACTCAAATATTCAAAACACTGAGGAATGACCAATACATTTTCCAACCAGTTATTATGGATTATATAGTCAGCTTCAACTATGCCAATTGACACCCAGGAACTCAAATTTAAGTAGGTTATTTAGCAGACTTCTCTTTCAAATACATTTTAAGCATCCCCTAAAGGTGGATCTGGCATAGACAGTTTTACCATGTCAATGATTCGAGGCAACCCAGCCAACATTTCTTCCATAAAAGTTTTAATAAACAAGCAAGACAGTTCTTGTTGTGGCAGACCATCCATGTAGGAAAGTCTTAGATGTGGTTATCACGCTGTCATAAGGAGCAGATATGGCATCATTAGTTAGTATGTTAGAAAAGGGAGTAGGGATAGGACCAATTGTGAAACAGTAATCTTCTGCAACAGTAAGTAACATCTATAAAGAGTGTGTGTTTCATGTTAACATTTTTTGTCCAATACTTTAGTTAGTTCACATAGGTATTTGTTTTTGGCATTCAAGTGGAAACTAAGTATGCAGCTGTATGAAACACCAGCTTGAAGTCTGCATTTTTAGTCTCTGCAGATAGATGCAAGTCACCTTTAACACTACAAAATTAACTCCGACTTTGATAATGTCCATTAGCTAAATGGAAAAGAGTTGGACTCTGTAAGTTGCTCCAAGTCCATCTCTTACCAGAAAAGTGCAACAATACCTGTTTGTATTTTTTGTTCTGACTTTTTAAAAAATAAAAATAGAGTCTGTCACACAGCGCATGGGATTTTATACTTCACATTATGTTCTGAAAAGTACTTTTCTAATTAAAGGTATAATAAAAAATCCCTTTTACACCAGCTTGAATGTATTGTTAGTTATTACAAAGCACATGTGATTTAGTTTGCATAAACATCTGTACTGTTCTACTGTTTTATTGGAAGTTTCTCATTTAAAAGATGTCATATAACAGTATGTTGTAATTTGAGACTTTTCTTCTTAATGGATTTGCTTTAAATGTGTCCAGCTGCTTTTTAGTTTCTTAGCTGCTGTAAAATAGCTATTCTGTGTTTATTTGATATATAGAATTGTAAAAACTGCATTTATTTATACAGAGACATTTATAATACTTTTATTTTACAAATGTTCTTATATTCTGAATAAATTTCTAATGCTAAAGAGTGCTGCTTTTTTTTTTTCTTGGTAGCTTCAGCCTCATCTCATTCTCCTTGCCTCAGGATGATACTAAACAGTTCAGTACTAGGCCATGAAATCAAGGTTAATAAATTATACAGTCCAAAATCCTTATTAGTTAATTTTTCCTCTTAATGTAACAAAATGGCATAAGAATCACAATTGTGTTGTTTCACAAACAGAGTGCTAGGATAATAGGAAAGTCTCTATATGGATTTTGCTACTAGAGCTTTCTGCTTTACCTTACAGCAGCAATTGAGTACAGCTCTATAAAATGTACTTAACATTGCATTTGTAAATGTTTTAAAATTATAAAGCACTCTGGGCTTTATAAAAATCAGATCAGGCCTGAGTAAAAGAGAAGGGTACATATGAAATTTCCATATATCTGGGTTTTTTTAATAAACTATCTAGATGACGAATTACTTTAACTCAAGTACTTTAAAAGCACTAATCTGAATTTGACACTAAATCTTTAGTTCAGTGCACCCAGATGCTATCAAAAGCAGCTTCCACTATCCTGCTCCCACAGCTGCTTTATTTGTAAATTAATACTCTCCTTAAAACTGGCACATGTAAAATCAGTGCTGCTAACTGGCATTTAAGGCAGTGAGTCAAAACATTCTTGTGTAAGTTCAACTGCCACAGCAGTACAGAATTTAAGTTTCACACTGCAACAAATGTTCAAGTTATTACAGTAATAATTATCCAGAAAGTAAAAAAAACCTTTAATCTTAACAGTAAAAAAAAGAAAAAGAAAACACTTTACAAATACAAAAGAAATAGCCTGTGACTAAATGTCGACATTTTAACAAACAATGTGCTTCAATGTCTGGATCAAGAAATGAACATTAAAAAAAAATGCTTAAAAATACATGATCTATTAGTACAATAGACTTTATGGGTAGTTACAGATCTTATCTAAAGAAGAGCTGAACAAACCATGCTTCAACTATCTCAGAGAAATTAAATAAAACCTGTAACCTTTCATGTTTATTTAAACGGTATGGACACAGCACCCAACACCAGTGAAAAAAATCTACTAAAATCTAGAATCTTAAAATGTTACAGTTGGGACAGGCTACATCCCATTGGTAACACAACAGAACACTTCATTATTGCAGACCAAGTCTTTGCATCTCCCCAGTTTTCTGCAAGACAATCACAGGAACTTAAAAGCAACCACAGATAAAACAAGTTATTTCATGCTGCACAAAGAAACAGCTGTACTGCACTTGGTTGTCAATACAGGATGCTATCTAGAAACCAAAAAGCTCTTTGAATTTATTACCATATAGTTTAACTTTTAAAACATTCCCTACATAATATCAAGAATATTCCAACATCTTAGAATCAAAAAAGTAAACCGTCTCCTCCAATAATTTGACAAAAGTGTCCTCAGGAGATTCCAACATATTCTTGTTGCCATCAGGAAATTTTTACATGGTATTCTGAAATATGTAAGATGCTTTTATGTATGTGAACTTAAAAATATAAAAGCCTTGCTGAATTTCTCATCAAAACTTTGTGGTACTTTACACATTAGAATGAGTTAAGTATCTGCTTCAAAACCACAACCCAAACTTCAGAATAGCAGAAGTGTGTTCAAAGTTAGTTTTCCTCCAACTGATACATTTCAATACCTTCAATGCTCATGCTCCACAAAGAGTTTGTCAAAAATTCTACTGTACAACTAATGGTGGTTTTTAATTTGAAAAAAAGATAGCAATATTATTTCTATATCACAAGACCTTTTTTCCTGCAGATACCCAACAGTAAGTACAATTTTCTCTTCCTCTCCCAAAAGAAGTCACTTAAACTAACCTCTTCACTGATAGTCAAGTAAAAATTCCTTAAATTCTATCCTTCCCTGCTCTCCAAGACAATATCCTGCATACCTTAGCTGGTGAAGTAGCAGGAAAGTAGGCTTTTCTGCCACCCTGGAGTCACTGACATCCACAGCACATGCCAGCATTCTGGTTTCTTTTCTACAGATTGCATAGAAGAGTCACAGCAGAGACCAGGAATCAGTTCCTACTTTAAATTTAAAGTGAAACCCAAACCTCAGATAAGCCAAGCACATGAAAATTTGCTCTTGCATGATCTTGAATGCAGCAGTGAAGTAATTGCTACATTTACGGTGTCTCACTTTAAGGCTTACAACCTACTTGAACCAGTAGTGAATTGCACGCTCAAAAGAGCACAAGATATACTGCATCACCTATCAATGCTTATGTACAGTATAAGAACAGTGCAAATGCAAGCTTTTAGCCTAATCCTCTTGTTCTTTCCATTCTCGAACAAGAATATTGCTACAAATATAAAACACATGATCACAGCTTAATTGCTGTACAAGAGAAGTGAGCTGTCCAAGCCTCATTTACTGTCAGAGCACCTTCATAGTGCATGTTCTGGCAGGGTTGAATCAATTCACCACCCATAAATGCCACGTCTTAAGTAATATTTTGCTGCTTCAACATTAAGCCGTTAAAATGGACTCAGGTTTCAGCCTACTGTAATCCCCAAAGCAGCCTGACACCAGTACCAAAATGTTAACATAATGCACAAAAAAAATGATGCTGGAAACTTTAAATTGCAAGCCTGAAGTACTGATGTCCATGCAGAGATAGAAAAACTTGATTTGGGACTGGCAAATTACACTAGCCCATCAGCTAATTGTTCCAAAACGCTTTTGGGTTCCCAGCAGGTGGTATTAGAATAAACTCCAGTAAATGTTTGGTTTTAAGAGGTTATTGTAGCATGAGCTGAGCTCATACCTTAAGAACTTGTACTAATGTTGCACAGCTAGTTACAAAGCATGCCCCAACAACAATATTTCATGCCACTACATAGTAGAATTTGGATCCCTAGCTTTGATTCTTGCTCTTCAGAGCAGCAAGAAATGAGAGCATCGGCATATATACTGTAAATCAAACTGGGAAAAATACAGCATCAGAACAGTGAACGCAGCAGAAAATGCACTTTTTTGTAAGAAATGAGCATCTGACTGGAAATGTTAGCAACAGCCAGACTGCAATTTGCCTTAACATTAAAGTGTAATAGTTACACATGCAGCATTAAATAGCCCACGAGTAAACACAGTGAGAGCACTGTTCTTGTCATTCTCCAAAGTAAACCAATAACAAGGAGCACGGGAGGAAGCCTGAAGTTCTGTTAGAGACTCCAAGTCGTGCAGACATTATCTAAAAAAGACTTACTATGAGCTAACAATACAGAAAGGGAAGTTTTTAGATTGTGAAATAAAGCTATTTATTCTTCTCTCCTTCTGTACTAATGTTTCTAGAGCTCAATGTTTAAGATACAGCTGCTTTCAGCTGTATGAATGCATACCGAAGACTGGAAATTTAAGACCTCCAAGTCACAAAAACATGCATAAATTAGACAAATTAGTTACAAATCCAAAGCCCCCAAATTAATTTCGCCCTCCCCCCACACTAAAAGAATTAGGCAAAAACATACATACAACTAACGACTGTAAAAAACAAAAATAAAAAACCCACAAGCTACAATAAATTAAAAACAGTTTATGCAGTACTTAATTCCATTCTAGATTTCCAGTACCTGCACTTTGCTTTTTGTCCGTTAAACCTTCTGTCATTATTTCACAAGTCCTTTAACTCCGAGGACACAGAACAACATCCACAACCTGAAGAGCCACTATGGGAAAGGGTTGCGTTTTATTTTATTCCAAGCGCAAAGACTGCCAGCCATGCTTACTCTTTGAGCATCTTTAAATGAAAAACAAGCTCTTGGCTCTCAGAAGTCCATTCACAGAGTTTAACTAGAGACTGTGGACTCCCCAAATCCCACCACTTATTAAAAAATAATAATAATAAAATAAAATAAAATAAAATAAAAGGTTCAAAGAAAATTCATTCACCCATTTGCTTTCATCACCATTTTAAAGAAACCCATGTAAACTGTACTCCTGCACTCTGGAATACATGTATAACTATAAAATGATTCATTTAACATGTGTGCGATCATGAAACATACAGAGAACACATAAGCTAACAATTCAAACTGTTCACAGCGCAGGGCACATGGAACCCTCAAGACAGGTCGTATGTCAGCACATTTAATAAGCTGTTTCAGACACCTCTGAGAAAGAAGGAAACTGATGCTGATACACATGAAAATTTTGTATGCAACTCTAAAACACAGTACCTTTGCACAGAGGTGGAAGTTATTGCATAATTATCACATTTATTTGCAACTCACATTAAGGCTAGATTTAATAAAACCGGGTCTTTTCTGGAGCTCGTGTATGGGCTTAGCAAGGAAGTCAGGTATTTTTGTACTGAAAAAGACCATCGCTTAAAAAAAAAAAAAAAGAAATGACCTGCACTTTGTAACCAAGCTGACAGGGCAGAGAGTGCATATTCCACTTAGGGATATTCTGCACAGCTATTTCTCTTGAGAGACTTCTCCTCTCACTTCTGACAACCATTATATACCCAAGCTGTTAACAAACAAGTTACAAATGTAAAATGAGTTTTGTTCTATCAATGTATTTGTTTGCCTTTTTAAAGTCCCTATTTAATCTCTGCTCCATTTAGAAGCGTTACAGCAAACACCCCTGAAAGTCAACCTACTACAATTAAAATTTTTCAAATCTTGATTTTCAATCATGCCTTAAGAGTCATCTCCCCCACTGGCACTAGCAGCCTGGAGATGCGAATGCTAACCTCCCATTCATTGCAAGCCAGGCACTTATTGCTGGGAAATCAACTACTTCAGCTAAAAAGAACTTCCCAACCTTATTATCCCAATTTCTCACTTAATGAGAGCACTTTTGCATTTATCAGTGCAAGCAACCTCTGGCTATTAAGTCTGACTGTCAAAAGACTGACCTCTTGCTTTTTTTCAGTAAGAGCCCAGCAAGCAAAGAAAAATGGCTTTAAACCAAGTAACTTCAAGACTTTCTGATCCAAATGGGAAAAATGTTGAAGTCAATTTCTCCTATTAACTAAAACGTAAGAGGTCTAGCTTCTCCAGCTAACAAAATATTTTACCATCATTAAAAACTCATAAATTGCATGGCCCCAAGAAGGGGAGAGGCAAAAAGGTGAAGATAAAAATAAGCTGTGTAACTACTTATTGAAGACTAAAACAAACTAACAGGCAACACAGGTACTTGCAAGAACACAGAGATTGCATGAGATAAAAAAGGCTGCCTGTGAGTGAATATACATTCTCTGGTCAGAAGACTCAGCCTTGGAATGACCAAAGTCAATTAAGGCATTCAGCCCTCCAAATCACACACCCACTAACCTTTATTTATTTCAGAGAACAGTTCACTTGAAGATATACAAAATACAGTTGTTCATTGCCAAGATAAATGTTCCCCCATAAGATCCTCTGCAGTAAGTTAAAATGTAAGTATTTAAACTCCCTCAGCTGGATCAGAATGTAGGACTAGTATTTTTTTAATGTATCACCTGAATTGCTACTGTTAATTTTTCACATCTTTTATATTGTTATTAAAAGGCTGTAGCTTCAGTCATTCTCAGCTAGTTTTCAGACACTGAGATGCAAGTGCAATATAAAATTCAATACTATTGGATATATAAACATACATTACACTAAAAACCCCTAAGGACAGTGTAAAACACTATAATGGACACTTAAAAAAGGTTATTGCAAACCTATAAGCGGCACATAAGGTATTCTCTATCCAGTCAAACATTTGCCTGGATGCTTCCTCCCTCCCAAGATCAGAGGGTTATTTTAGATTATTACTGAATATAAAAAAATGTTACACAAGAACCCCCTCTCTCAGAAGTTAGTGTCTCCTAATTTCTAGATATTAGCTGCAACTAAACAGAAACTGCATCTGATTTTCTTCCAGTCAGACAGTTCTTGTGGACAAAGATATGATGCTAGGTCGTGTGAAGTGGCAAGTTCTGTCCATCACAGGTATCTCCACAGGAAAAGCTGCAAGTCACGGCAAAACATAACCCAAAGGATATAACTTTGAATCCTACTAATTGCAAGTCATTTTGAAACACGTTTCCATATAAAGAGAAGACACTCTAGGCAGACAACTGGGGAGGAGAAATGTGCAACTTTAGGTTTTGTCGTTACTGGGATAGAGAATACAGGAGTCCTCTGAGAATTACTTTCTTTGCCATTGCTATACTATTGCCAAGTACTGGAGAATAAAGACTGAATATTGCAACAGCTTTACATCATAGCAGGCTAAAAGTTCAGTGTTAGTGTACTGCCAACACTAAAATATTGCAATGAGTGACTTAAATCTAAATGTGCAGCAAGTTTTAACAAACAAACAGAAAAGAATGCCCTCTAATGTACAGCTAGGAACGAGCGAACCAAACACTGGAAAGGTACTTTTGTAGGTAAAGGCTATACTGCATTTAAAGTGCAACACTTCACTGCCACTCCCATACTGCAAAAAAGAATGAACCCTTTAGATCACCATACCAGTCCCTGCATTGCATTAAAACAAACACACAGAAAACTCCTGAGTAAAAGTAAGGCTGGATTAAAAACCCACTCAACTGCAACAGGTAAGTCTTTGATTTCTGTTCCTCTAGAACAAGCTTGCTGTCAGAGGTCAAAATTTTTCATGATGGCATCATGGTCAAACTTGAAGCTCAAGAAAGCTCTCGACGAGAAAGTGAATTTGTAATGGCCATTACATGCCACAGAGTGTCCCTCTGTCTGTTCTAGCAGCGGGTCTTCACTGGAGCAACACATGTCATAGGCTGCATCTGCTTTAAAAAACAAAAAAGAACGAAAAACTTAACTGCAGAAAACCTTAACAGCTATTGATCAAGGGGATTATTTGATAATATGCTTGTATTAGCTTTACGTTGCTGTACAAGAAACTTGTTCAATTAATATCAAATCACCCCGGCAGCTTGGTTAATTTGGTCATGGTTTCAAACAAATAGGGTGGCAAAAGAATCCCTCACCTTTACTGGCCTTCTAGTGGTCAAAACTGGCCAATTTCATAGGAGCTGTAATAAGTATTTTGTTTTACACACAACAGTAAATATTGTCTGCATATCACAGGTTTCGGGGGTGGGGGGAGCTTGCTGAATGTTGCCCCACTTCCAGGGCAGAGACTGAAGAGCTACTCGCTGCCCTTGAGAGGGACTGGCAATTTCAAGCGTTATCATAAACAGCCCTGGCCATGGTCGCCCATGAACAACTCTGTATTCTGTAATCCCGCAGATTTCACAAATAAAAAAAAACGAGTGGAAACCCTGATTTAAATAAATGGTTTCTCTTCTTGGCATGAGCTGCAAGAAGTTGATGCAGTTCTAAAAATTCAGACTTTTCCTCTGAAAAAGTTGCTTCATTTAACCTGCACCTTGGTATATGTAAGACATGGCATCCCCCATGTACAGAACACCTTCAACCCTCAACATGGTCAGGTGTGTATGGAAGTTAGGAATACACTTACCTGTTTCAAAATTATCCTGAAGTCTTCGTGGATTAAGCTTTTTTTCACATTTCTGGTTAAAAGAATGACCACATTACACTCTTCATAACACAGATCCTAATTCTAATCAACTCACAAGGAGATGCATACAAGCTTGGACACTCTTGAATTAGATAAAGAGAAATAAAAATCAACATTGAATTTAGCTTCTTCAACTTAAAACAAGTGCAGTCCCAAAGCAAGTTCTAAATTACTGCTCCCCAAGATTACCTAATGAGCACCTCAAACTCTACTACAAATGTTTTGAAAGAATAAAATGTTAAAATATAGAATTAATTTATTTTACAATTCTATATTATAAAACATAAGAATCTTACGTAAGACGCAAGAATTATTATGTTAAGGAGGTATTGGTTTCAGATTTTTTTTTTTTTGAGAACTGAAGGAAAAAGAAAACTGACATGCACTAAAAGCTTTCCTTCCCCTTAATTATTTGCTCTCAGCATCATACCAAGAGCTGTAGACATGCCACTTGTATGTTTACTGTTAGTGCAACACCTCCACACCAATACTTCGGATATGGGAATGTTATTCACTGATAAGTTTACATGATTAAAAAAAAGAAGAAAAAGAAAAGAAAAAAAGATGGCAAATTGGGACTCATTAAGCATGTATATTGAGAAGGGGATTATTCAATCATTCCGGCACTAACCATATTGATGCTGTGCTCCTACAAGAAACACAAGCAGGGTCCCACATAGTCCATAGAAACTTGAACACAGTGCACTCCTTCCCTCATCGCTGTTTCAGAATCACAATTTTCTGTCTTTTAAAAAGGTTCTTCTAGCCTTACAGCCTGAAGACCACCTTCACAACACAAACCAAACTGATGCATTGGCAGGTACATGAGTCTGCAGACAGCCTCCCACAGTGCTGAAGTGTGAACTCCCCGGAAATCTCAGTCAAGGTTCCAACAGACTCCAGGATTCCAGAATTATGGAACATGGTCTTTTCTAAGAGGCCACTGATTTCAGCATTTCTGCTGCAACTTGTTACCTGACATGTTGTTCCCTTTCCCTGCCCTGCTGGGACCCTGCCTGCAACTATCCCTCTGCTTCCCTACTTTCTGCAAAAGGGAAGCTTATTTGGATCACAATGCGTGCTCCCTGCACTTCTACATAACACCAAACAGCAGGGAATTAGGAAGCAACAGCTGGAGTCCAGCTTATTAGCAGAAAGCAAGAAGCAGCCAAGGCACAAACTGACAAAGTGAGTCACATAGCCATAGAAGCCTGGGAAGTCAGGCCACGTTGCCACTGAGGCTGGCAACGTGCTACCTTCTTCCCTGGGCATTTCAGAGTTTGGCCAAATTAATAATACTGTCGGAACGAGGGCACAAGGAGTGAAGCCTGGAGAACACGGGGAGAACATCTCCTCAAAAAGAACCACCGTCAAAAAGAGCATTAATTTGATGTGCATACTCTTCAACAATGAGCCAGGGGAGGGTGCTTGTGTGAGTGCAAGAAAGAGTATCCAAGGGGAACACAATATGAACTTTGGGGCTAAACATTACTGAATTTAGTCCTACTGTGGCATAGGATATATAAGACTCTGGGGTAGAATTTTCCAAGTCTACAACTCCAAGTTCTAGCCAGAGAGGAAGCAAACATATTTTACAATTAATATGTAGTTTTTCCATGCAACAAAATATGTCATCACACACACAAACCAATTATATGTATATTTTGACTTGGCATCATATACTAGGCATTTATCTGGCAAAGACCTAGAAAACCACAGAAAGGCCTGACTGCTATGCACTGGAAAGAAATGGTTTTCCACGGGTGATATCTTTTGCTGGACTAACTACATGCTTAGGATCAAGTTAAACAAACTTTCAAATTCTTCACCAGATTGAAAGCCTTGCATTCAAAAGCTTATCTGACTTGTCTCACATTATACCTGAACCACTGTGGCTACAACATAGCTCCAACACCATTATGCACTAGAATTCGCTTGCAACAGGCTACCCAGAGGAATTCTAATACGCAACGGTCAAAGGACACTGTTCAATTTTGTCTGCTTTCATCACTGGGCAATCTACTGTTTACCACCAAAGCTTTAGTCTACACTTAATTAAATGTCACCAAAGTTGTCAATGCAACAGTTACTGTTGTGTATCTTACCAGTGTGTGGTTCTGTTTAGCTGGCTGGCTGTGGACCCCATTTGTCCTCTTCTTTTGGTTAGGAGTGTCTTGATATTGCTTTCTACCATTGCCCCTCATGTTCTGAGTCAGCCATCATGCCCCCAAAGAAAGGAGTAAATATTAAGATTAAACGTCAGCAGCATGCACCCCTGTACTATGACACTTGCCAAAAGGCAATTTTCACCTAAATGTCTCAAAGTATTCTTGACAATAAATATTTTGCAGATGAGAAACTGAGGCACAATAAAATTAAGACAGCTTCTCACCCACCAGGCAACCAGAAGAGGTGAGAGAAGAAATCAACCAAAGCCCTATCCCCTGCTCCAAATACCAAAGCCTTAAGTAATAATGGTTCCACCACCCCTTACAGTAACAAAAGCCAAGACTCTGAATAAGTACTATCAATTTTTAAGGGCCCAAACAAGCCCAATGGCTTCAGAAACAAAGCCTACCTTTATTTTTAAAACTTCAGACATCTCAGAATGATTATATGGCTTCTGTGGTTGTGGCAGCCTATGCTTTGTCCACTGGTCTCCTAAAGGCCCATCTGCAAACACCTGCTGACTATAACGAAGTTTGGATCTAGCACATTAAAAAAACAAACAAACATTTTAGTTGCAAGCAAATTTCAAAGCTATTCTGATCAGAGCAAAAATGCATTTTTTTTTGCTTCTGTAGTAAGGTGTGGAAGTAAAATGGAACTAGAGAAAACAGAGGTATAACTTAGTATTCTCCTCATTTACCATTTGTTTACCTGGAAAACAGCTGGGCAGTAAGAAAAAAATATTTCCTGTGCTTTGAAAGGCTAGGGTATTTATCAGATAACAAGAAAACTCCCTTTTCTCCTATTTATCAAGTAACAAGGAACCTCCACCCTCTAGTGGGACATACCTAGCAGGTAGAGGCAGGAACAGTGACACTTTTACTTTTATTTTATCCAGCAAAAACTTTGGCACTGAACTACACGGAAATGCTGAAGAAAACTCTCTCTTTGGGAGCTGGAGTTAACTTGAGAAGTTGCTGCGACCCATGAACATTACAATATGCTCATTTCCATTTAAAGCCTTCCTGCCATCCAATTACATTCAAAGTTTGACTCCACAAATTACTTATCACACTGATTTTTTTCAAACGCTCCTCTTGCTATCGCTCTAGCACAGGTTTCATTCAGCTGCCTCTGAAATTACTTCACAGTCCCTTTGTTTTTAGTGACTTTTTTTTTTAACTTTGCTCTATTATTCCTGACATTTTTAGAAATCTTATCTACTTGTTCTACCTTTTCTGATAGAGAAATTCAATTTTTTTGTAACACTCCTTCTTTCTTTGTACTCCACATTCCCCATATGGAAACTCAAGACATTCTCTGTTTTGCCATTTTAAAAAGTTTGCCAGATAGCACTGTTTAACCTTTCACCCTATTAAGATAATACTTTTAAACTATATTATAATAAATGTTAATACTCTAAACCAGAAAAAAAACACTTTTGCTTTATGGCCTTTTGTTTTATGACTACTTTTGTATTATGCAGGGCTGAAGACAGGGCTCTAAGTGACATGACTTATTACCTCACTTTTTCCAAGCTGGGTTTGGATGGCGTGCTCCCAGTAGATGAGAATCCATTGTCACTATCAGAGGAGTCTCCATACCTTCGAGAAAGCCAGTCTCTCAATGGTCTGTAAACATTAGCATTAAAAAAAAAAAAAAAATCAGCAAAATCAAGTTTCATCAAGCAAACAAACACACACAAACAAACACACACACAGTCTTTTTGACAAGAAAGGGTGAAATGTTCTGGGCTAGCCTTTGACTTTTCTTGAACATACCTGATAAAGGGAATAGCCATGAAAAACTTGTTAGGTGCCAAACCTAGCTTGGACTTTGGGGTCATGTCATTTCTATGGCATGGTAACTTGTCAATTGAGAACCATTCAATATGCTGAAACACAGGAAAAAAGTAATTACTTTAGTGATGTCTAGAAGGGATTTAAGTGAATGGCACATCAACCACAATGATTTTCTTCAAACTGCAGGAAGGGTTTGAATTAATCAACTATGACAAGAGTTTGTTCATTACCATACCTAATTATTTAAAATGGTACAGTCACTTTTCTGACCACAACCGCACTGTAATGGACACTAAAACATAAAACACACCAAAATGATAGGATAGGGATACCTAAGATGTGGACTATGGTACTCAGTAACTTATTAAGTTTAATTGAAAATAAAGTCTATAATAACAAACAGTGCTTTATTTGCAAGAATGCCATGAAAGGCCAGGGTAATCAGAGGCTACAAATAGTTTTGCAAATTTCTCTCTCCCCATTCCCATCCCCCCCATTTTATTTCAAATGCAAGCAAACAGATCACCAGTACCCACTCATAGGATGCTCCAGCACGCATTATGTCTACATAAGAAAAACTGAAGTATTGTTCTAGTACTGAATCCAGCCTATGGTTGATGACAAAAAAAGCAATCCAAAAAGGGGCAAGATAATTGTTTTCTAACATACGAGACTTTTATAACAACAAATATGATGATTCTATTTTGAACTCTGCATAGCATGCCATTAAAATGAATTAAATAAAAATAAAAGTACTCTGAAAACCCATTCAATATACAAAAAACCTCACTTAACCTCTTTCTAGATGCATGCTTCAGCCAAGTTGTGCATACTTTAAAGGGTAAAGAATATTGCAAGGACTTTCCAAAACAATTCTATCCAGTCCTCAAAAAGAAGACTCAAAGTTTAGCTAGATCAGGGGTTCCCAAACTTTTTATGCTGAGGACTGGCAAACCACAAACCGGAAGTGACCACAGACCAGCAAACTGCACACCAGCAATGACCAGCATACTGTGGGCAGGCAGCCAACCCTTTTTTATACTCAGTTGGCTGCCGGTCCTCAGTTTGCTGCTCACTTCCAGTCCACAGCTTGCCAGTCCATGGTCACTTCCGCTCCAGCAGCCAACCATCCTGCAGATTAGCAGCCAACCCTTTGCAGCCCAGTACCAGGCTGCAGCCTGGAGGTTGGGAACCCCTGAGCTAGATCAAATAAAAAAGGCACCTAAAGCAAGGAGACCATCTATACCTCCGAGGAATCTAAATAGGAGGAAGAGGGCATTTGGAATTCCAAAAATACAGATAAGGTTAAAGTTGATCCTAATTTTCAAATACTGCTCTTGAATTTATTTGCATTACAAGAAAAATTCAAATGCCATGAAATGATTAATGTCAACAACAATACCAGAAATTGTTCAGGATTTCTCCCCTTTGCAACAGCTTTCTATAAGTCCACTGAGTACAAATATCACACACAATGGCTGACTCCCACTGCACTCCACACCCCAGCCTGATCCCTGGTGTTTGCTGCACACTAGGATCTGCATTGTATGGGCTGCCTAGACAGTTAGAGCAGCCCCCATTTTGCTTTTCTGGGGTGTAGGCTTCTGCAGAGTATCCTTCATATATTGATATTCCCAGAAGAAACCAAGCACCAAGGAATTTAGTTAAGATTGAATAAAGACTATTAGCTACAAAAATATAACAACAGTTAGAAGAGAGAAGGATGTGCTTTACTGTCACAGATAAACCTAGTACTGGAGCATGCAGGCTATGATAAACGTGGCATCTTAATGAACAGCTGGTCAGCAATCAGTCTTCACATCAGACCTGCAGGAAAATGACAAAACCTAGTGATGAAATGCTGCCTTCAATCTGCATTTGGAGCATTCATCGCCTGTTTCTTTTAATATCATGCAGGCCCTTAATTTTGATCAACCTTCTTTAAGTTACTGCCAACACAGAGGCTTCAGCATAAGAAATAATTATGCATACCCGAATTTCTCTTCTGGTTTTGGGATTGAATTTTGTGTCCTTTGGAACTCCTGGAATGATGTACAATCGTGCTATCTGATCGTTGATTCGCAGCTCAATGTAGTCATCTTTGCAGATGTAATCTTTGATATCAAAACCAGTTTCTTCAAACACCTGAGCAGCATAGAAAATCCATTAGATTTTGTAGGTCAGACCTTCAAAGTAACAGCACAAAGGTCAATGTTGTGTACATAGGGTAGTGCTTCTCAACCAGGGTGCCACAGAGGTCCTTTCAGGGGTGCCACACAATGTTAGTAAACATGACTCACAAGATAAACCAAGAGAGTTCAAATAGAACCCCAGTGTTAAAACCTTTCTGACCTGTTATGGTCTGAGTTCTTTGCAACAGAATAATTGCTTTATTATTTTTCTGCAGTCAACAAACAAACTAAGAGCCAGTATTTTCCAAGGGGGCCCTTGAGTCTAAAAAATGTTGAGACCCACCAATATAGAGACACTGATGGAAGAAAGCAACAGTATTCCATGAATACAGAAAAAGCATTTCTGTAAAACAGAAAGAAAGAATAAAGGCAGAAAGAATAAAATCAGCTAGTCAACCCACATTTCTCAGAAGTAGAGAATGAGTTAAAAGTAAAGATAAAAAGTAAAGATCATCTGTACCAGGGAAATTGTCAGAAGCCAAAAAGCATGCAAGAGAAAGACTGCTTAGCCCAGGGGTATCAAACATCTGGGCCTGTAGACCAGATGAGTAAAGTGGGACCAGTCCAAGGACCAGATTGGGCCTACGGATCCCTCGGATCCAGTGCATGCAGTGCCCATTTTGAGACCTATGCCACATGAGGTGCACACCCCAGCCAGTCTGGAATCCATGCTGCACACAATGCTCCCCTGGGCTGGTCTAGGACTGTGCTGCATGTGTCCTGGATGTGCAGCACAGGTCCTGGACCAGATGAAGTGCATGCCACATGTAGCATGAATCCAAGGTACTGTATGTGGAGCCAGCCTAACATGGCACATGGGTCAACTCAGACATCAACATCAGGGGCCAGATGATAGGCTTCCACAAGCCAGGAGTGGCCCGGGGGCCAGATCTTTGACACCTCCTGGTAGGCCATTTCCTTGGGGAAAAGATCTGAGTTAGGAAAATGCACCAATCTCCCCTTTATGGGAAAAAGAAAAGAAAAAAAAAAAAAAAAAAAAAAAAAAAGCATATTTTTCATCTTATCCTCCCAAGCTCTGTGCTGCAGTTGCACAATCTCATAACTATAACCACTGTTCTCCCCTCTCCTTATCATCTAACTTCCCAAGCCATGTTTTTGATTGGTTTGTTCTAGTGCATTATTGTACTTTCTTCTTATGTGTTTCTCTAAGTGTTATAAGTAATATTCTGCCTCAGGGGTCAAAAACCTAAACCTTGTGAGAAGGAACATGGGGCTTCAGCTGTAGTTGCTCTCCCCATGCCACCATGAAGAAGCAGCAATGACAAGAAGTGGTGACAGTAATAACTGAGTCCTAGCTCCCACCCACCTGCCTGCCTCTGACCTGAACTGAGCCATTCTGGCCCATAACCTGAAAAGGCTGCAGACAGCTGTTCTACACTGACACATATCTAAACTGGATGTGAAGTGCTGGAACTGGATTATATTACAGATTGAAACAACACTTTAAATACAGCCAGATCTTATTTTTCTTCTTACCTGAAGCTTCCAATGTCCTCTCAAACAGCTCATGTAAATTGGAGGATACCTTCAGAAAATTAGAAATAAGGAGCCATCCCCTAACCCACAACAGGTATACTTAGAAAGCAATGAATTCTAAGAAGCTTGTTCAACCCAGACAGGAAATAAAATGCTTTTTACTACCTTCTTTTGGCAATCCAATTCCATCTCCCAATACCTCCAAGTGAGAGTTTATTACCCCTGTCTTTACATAAGTAAAAATAAAAATAGGACATAAAATTATCCAAGCCGCTTTTACATCCAGATGCAGTGTGTGCCTGGCTTTCTGCAACAGTAAATTCCACAGGCAGGCTATGCACCATAGCTTTATATTTTACATGCCACTGACCGTGACCCTTTGTTTCTATAATAGGGAAGAGCATAACAAGCTGGAACTGTTCATGCATTTTACCATAATAGTGTACTTTTCCCTTAACACCAACTTTTTAAGCAACAACCCCAGACTGCGCAGTCTCAGAAATACCAAAAAGTCTTCTTGTCATCTTAATTTGCCACACAAATATATTATTTTTATGTAAGATGACAGTCTTCTAGAAGCACATGTCTAAAATTTCTATCTCCAAGGCAGCTGGGCAAACTTGTATTGAATCACTACCACAAAAAAACTCTCTCACATTCACTCATTTTTAGTCATTTTCCAAATTGGATCCCCATTTTACTTCTGATGTACATTTCTCTTCCATTGGTCATTCCAAGAAGTTTTTTACATTTTAGTTCCTTCTTCACGAATTGATATCGAGGAAAAGAGATTAATTTTACATCATCAGACAACAATCCAAAGGGCCAGAGCAGCTAGGGACTTTCTAGATACCCAAATCAATAATTACCAGGCCAACCTGACAGATTTAACTGATGTTCCAAAAGCTGAAAAAGTTACTCGCTGACCCTAACAACAATCAAGATACAGAACAATCAAAAAATTTCAAGAACACATTAATTTCAAGCCCTGACTTTACACTGGGCACAGGCTTTTGATTCCTACAGCTGACAGCAGAGGGAATAAAATGCTAACAGCAGCCATATTCCAAAGCAGAAGCTTTCTTTAAAAGGCATAGTGGAATTGCTTTTGGACTTGCATTAACATCCTACTCAGCATGAACAAGTACAACTACTGCTAAATTACTTGTGCACCTTAATTTACGAGTAAGGAAAGTTTAAACAATCATACTTGGAGCTCACCTCTCTAGCAGCACAGTCATGTGGAGCCTCTTCTTTATTTACTTTCCCTTTTGGAAATCCCCAGCCAGATTTTGCTAAATATCCCTGAACCAACAGTACCTGCAGAAAATGAAGACAAGAGTCAGATACCCATTAATCTCACTGCTTTGTCTTAATCTCAAAAACAACGCTTTGGAGGGACCCTCATATGTTCATTTTCAGTAGTTCGTCCACAAGGTTGGCGAAGGTTAGACAAAGAGTTATCAACTCTATTATTTTTATCATATAACATTTCAGCAAAATTTGGAAAAAAAAGGACCATGCACCAGCTGCCTCTGGTACACAGATAGTAAGAACACCCCCACTTCCTAACACACTTCTGCAAAAAAGAGAAATCTACAGAAACATGATAGGAATGTGAAAAAAAATCCTGCTGTATTCTGACGCCATTATCTACGATTCTGAGACTGAAAATGTTTTTCCCTCCAAAACAAAAAATTGCTGGTGTTAGTTAAATCCTAGGTAACATCCCCCCAGTTACTCCCACCTTGTACAAACCACTTCACAGATTGGCTTCAAACTTACATTTTCAAGTGTCTCATCAAGAATAATTGCACCATAGGTTGGCACTCCCATTTTATATTCCTTCCACTCATCTAAAACCTTTTGCACATCTTCACCTTGAGGCAGTAAAAAAGGGCAATGATTGAAGAGTAAAGAAACATGTCAAGGAAATTAATGCTTAACCTGAACTCATATCTTACACATACGTACAGATCTACCCAAAATAAATTGTTACAACTACTACTGTCTATATGGAATAGGGTTTTGTTCTTTTAGATTTCTCTCAGGTTTATTTGAAGCTGAAGTCATGCAAACAATCCAATATTACATTACATCCTACAAGTTGAGGAGGCACATAAGTGCTTTACTATTCTAAGACAAGCTACTTAGAAAAAGTTTAATTAAAAACGGTACCATTTTAGAAATTTAAATAAACAGAAGTAGCCCAACTGGAGTTAAAAAGCAAATTTCTTACCAAATTTAAAAGCAAGTTACACCAAAGAGATGACCCTGTTCTAAACCTATATTTGCAAAGAAAGCACTTTGTTTCATTGAAGCATGGATCCTCAGGACATATCATGGATCAACATGGACACATTTCCTCCCCACAGCAGCTAGCCAAACCACTACCTAGAATCCATCCTTAATCAGTTGAGCTCAAGAATATTTTAATTCTGATTAAATCACTATCTGAGTATCTACTTAAAACACACCTGGCAGTCTTTACTGGCTCATTAACTGACCCAAAAAAACCCAGAACTAGATAGCATACTATACTGTTCTTATGGATAAGGCTCTCCAAACAATCTGTAAAATCAACACGCAATCATACTGCTTTTCTTTCTAATAAAAAAACTCTGTATCAGTGTACAAAAAAAAGTAGTAAGCCAGGACTCTAGAATTTCATAACTTATATGGAAAATATAAATCACATAGAGTGAGTACATACTATCCATAAAGTTACATTTCCTACTTATTACCTCACAATTATTCAAGGAATACATCTATTTTATGGCACTATTATATTCCCAGAAGTAGGGTAACATGAAAGACTGGCCCATCCCCAATATCATACAAATCAGATCAGTTTACAAAGTTTATTTTCAATTACCAGCATTTCAAACCCACCAGCAGCTGACTATAAAATCAAGCACCAGGTTTTCTGCCCTGGGAATCACCACCATTAAGTATTATGGAAGTCAGGACCAGATCTTCCACTCTTATGTAAAAGTATATCGGAAGAGGAAAAAATCTCTGCCGGATACTACCATGGAATTTACTCTGCAAAATTCCCCTTCAAGGAAGAAAGGGTACAGAATACAAACTCTGTAAATTCAAAGGATCAGTAGAAAGAGCAGAAGCCAACTGCATGGATTCATCAGGAACACAAGCTGCAGTTGGTATAATTCCCCATAACTGTATACCAATCCCATCTCCAAATAGGCACAGCCAGAGTTTACATTGCTCCTAGCAGTGTCAATATGCATTTCTGCTTCTCTGTGGAAATCCATCATGTTAGGAAAGAAACATGCCACAGAGAGCACTCTTAAGCTTTCCTTGACCATCACTGAACACTGCAGTACTTTGACAGGAACAAACAGTAGAAATTTTAATAGAACCTATTTTTTTCTTTACTATGTTGTACTGACAGCGATTTTAAGAATAAATCTCATAGCTATACTTCAGTGCACATTTTATACACAAACACTGAAATGACAAACAAATACAAAGGATATCAGCTTTAGCAAAATCTCTTATCCCACACTGAGGTAATCCTGGTGTGTTCTGCATGTAGAAATCCAAGTAAAACCAATGGGCAAGTTCAATCTGAAAGCACACTCTGATCGCATTGTCTCTCTCCTCACTTGGGATGTGCAAAATAAATCGGCTGGAAAAGGAAAATTTAATTAACCAAACGCACACATAAAAGTTTAAGAAATATTTCTAACAAGCAAAATGCATTATAGCAGCAGCTTTAAACAACAATTTATAGGACTCTGGCAATGGATATCCTCCTGGTGGTCTGTGATGGCTAGAAAATTATATTCAAAAATTTGCTTTTAGGAATTGGTTTGTAGGTAAAGTAGATATTGTATTAGAAAAATGGTCTAGGGGAATGGCAAGGGGTAGCTAGTTTCTAAAAGCCTGTTTGTGACAAAGTTTCACAGTCTTCAAGGCAGACGCTGTGCCTGAGGCTAACAGACAGGTGGGCATACACACCCTGGGAAATTAAAAACATCCAAACAGCGTTCCAAAACATGAGATAGGCTTGCCACATAGGAGCTAAGTCACAGGGACCAGCTGCAGATCCCTGGGATTCCCAGTTTTGGTGGACGGACCAAATTAGAAGCCTGGGGCATGCCCAAATTAAGACACTGGTAAATTACCAAACTAAGATATGTGCATGTGATAGGTTTAGGAAACAAAGGAATATGCTGACAGAACAGAACACGGACAGTATGATGACCACAGAGAAACCAATCAATGGTACCCAGAAATGAAGAGTCATAAGAGGAGAAGAAGAAGAAGAAAAAAAAAGAGGGATTTCAGAGCAGCAAAAGGTCCCCCCAAGGGGAGAACCCAAAGCCACCATGGACGGAGGGCACACCACCAGCCCGTTTTACCCACCCCACTGGGAGGGTGGGCCTTAGTCCTCAACCTCCAAGACTGCTGACATTTAAGCAAGACCCACAGGGTGAAGCTCACATGTTGGCCACGCATACCTTTCCTTTGTGAACCCACAGTCTGGTAGATACAGAATCATGTGTTTGCCTTGCCTGCATTTGCCTTGCCTGTCCCTATCTGCTATCACTGTGTATCAAAAGAATTTGCCCATTATTGAATGGAAGAAGTCATAGTCGGTCTGAGGTTTTGGGTCCACCTGGAATCTGAGTCATAAATCCAATTCCAACAGTCTGCCCAACCAAAGCTTTTGACAATCAGATAGGGAAGGCTTTAGAGTTAGCAGGCAAGTGAAAAGTCGAGAACCCTCTCCCCCACCCCCCCATGTTACAAGAAAACTAAAAACAAGTCAATTCAAAATAGACTATTGTGAGAGCACAGATCTAAATACACAGCTATGTTTTCAGAATAAATGGTACGGGACAAAATTCAAAAAAGTCAAATGAATGCTATACCAACAAAATGCTCCTATGGCCACTGTCAACTTAAATATCCAACAAGAATGTGTCTCCTCACTTGTTAATGCCATTACAAGCTATTCAAATACTGTAACTTTAAAATGTGATTTATCTTGGCTATCTCCTCCTATGAATTTTCCCTGTGGAGCAGACAGTAAACAAGGTAAATCATTTTATTTTCCCACTCTACTTTCTGCTCCTCATACACTGCACAGAACTGTCCAGCTTCTGAGTGAACAGGCACTAGAGGGCCCTCAGCCACACACTGCACAGACCACAGACCCCCAAAGGCCATGCAACCCACATTGCCCCTGTCCACACCTCAGGAGCCCCCCAACCTGCTGCAGGAGCAATCTTCCATACCACAACAGCCCCCTGACATGTTGCAGGAGCCCCCTCACTCCATACTGCAGGGGTACTTGATGTAGTGCAACATGCAAGCCCTCCCCCACTGCACCACAGGGCCCAATGTGCTGTGCCATGCCACACAAGCCACCCACTGTACCATGCCAGCTCCCCACAGTGCTGCACAGCCCTACTGTGCCACACAGACCCCTGCACACATGGCTGCCTTGCGCAGGGTCCCCAGGTTCCTCGAAGCCCTCGACCCCATGGACCATATAACTGGACCCTGCCCCCTGCAGCAGGTGCAAGCAAAGGAAGCTGGAGGATGGAGAGGAAGTCCAGGGACTCCAACAGTAGTAGCAAAAGTGCAAAGCCAGGAATGGTATCCAAGCCAGGAGTCCAGGAGCTGCATGCAGCCCGTGGGCTGTCAGCTGAACAGGCCTGTGCTAGCTCATGTTGCAGCGCACATTTCTAGACTTAAGATTTATATTCAAACAGTAAAATTTCCAGTTTTAAATAAATAAAACAGAATCATCTTAAAGTTCATCATAGCTTATTGTTTTCAAACTTAAATTGTTAAGCTTAAGCTATCCAGCAAAGTCTCTTCAAATCTAACTTCAGACACCTGCCAAATATGGACATGGGACACCAATGCTACAGCTAGGAGCCAGAAAGTTACCTTTTCAAAATATGCTTTAGCAATCTTCACTAAGTATAAACAGTCCTGTGCAAAGAGGGACCTTACTCACGCCCGTGATAGTGATGGTAACTTGCTGCAGTAGCAGTATACTTTGCCAGAGAGCTAACCCCTTGAAGGTCTGATTTATTTATTTATTTTGAATTAGGTATCCCTACCACTCCCACCAATAGCCATCACACTAAAGATGTACACTGGAAGGTTAAAGAAATATTATTCTTTTTTTGTGTGTGTGGTCATTGTGACTGTCTGGTAAAGAAGGCTTGTCATTATTGGCAAACATCCTTTTGCAGAGTCAAAAGTCAAACATGGAACTGAAGAGTCAGCAAGACATAGTGTGACCAGATTAAAAAAGGAGAAAGGATCAGAGTACATGAGCACATTCAGCACCTGATTTATGCAAGGGCAAGGGAAAACCAAACAACAGATCACAAACATTATTTTTAAAGGTACTATCGGAAAAATGGCATTAAAAAAGTTGATCAAAAAAGTTAACTGCCATTTTAATTCCAACCTGTGCCTCTCCAAGGTCCTGAGAAGTTTTAATTCAATGGCATGATTGGGATCTGATCCCCGAATTACACATTTATGCATCATGCCATGCCCAACTAAATCAAAGTTTGGGTCTCTGTCTTGCAATCTGTAATTCTACTGATGCATCTCGAGCAAGGCCCAGGATATCATCCTCCCACTGTACTCATCCTTGGTGAGGCCACAGCTGGAGTACTGCATCCAATTCTGGGCTCCACAATTTAGGAAGGACGTGGAAAAGCTTGAGAGTCCAGATGAGAGCCACACGCATGATCAAAGAGCAAGAGAACAGGCCTTACAAAGATAGGCTCCAAGCTATTTCTTTGCCTCCATTTTCCTGAGCAGGGACCAGACCAGCCTGCCCCCTAGGGCCCCCTCAGGCCCCGGGGGAGGCGCATCCAGGCCTAGGGCCAATGAGGATCTAGTCAGGGAACTTCTGGAGGGACTGGACATATTTAAATCAGCTTGTCCTGACGATCTCCACCCCAGAATGCTGAGGGAATTAGCAGAGGTCATTGCAGGACTCCTGGCACGGCTTTACGAGCACTCGTGGAGCTCTGGTGTAGTGTCAGAGGACTGGAAAAGGGCCAGTGTGGTCCCCATTTTCAAAAAAGGGAGGAAGGAGGACCCAGGAAACTATAGGCCAGTTAGTCTTACCTCGATCCTGGGGAAGCTTTTTGAGAGAATTATCCCGGCGCATGTACACGAGGGGCCAGCAGAGGAGGTTATGCTTAGGGGCAACCAACATGGGTTCATTAGAGGCAGGTCTTGTCAGACCAACCTGGTGGCCTTCTACAACCAGGTCACAAAATCCTTAGACGCAGGGGAGGTGTCGCGGTGGACATAGTCTTTCTGGACTTCAGGAAGGCCTTTGACACTGTCTCTCACCCCATTCTCATTAAAAAACTAGGAGACTGTGGCATCAATACCTACACAGTCAAATGGGTCACTAATTGGCTGGAGGGCCACACCCAGAGAGTGGTGGTGGACGGGTCATTTTTGACCTGGAGGGATGTGGGCACTGGGGTCCCCCAGAGCTCAGTCTTCGGACCTGTGCTATTCAACATCTTCATCAGTGACTTGGACGAGGGGGTAAAAAGCACCCTGTTCAAATTCGCAGACGACACTAAGATGTCGGGCGAAGTGGGCACACTAGAAGGGAGGAATAGGCTGCAATCAGACCTAGACAGGTTACAGGGGTGGGCGGATGAGAACAGGATGGGTTTCAACAATGACAAGTGCAAGGTGCTGCACCTGGGGAGGAAGAACCAGCAGCATACCTACAGGCTGGGGAACTCTCTTCTCGTCAGTGCAGAGGCAGAAAAGGATCTTGGAATCATCACTGATGCCAAAATGAACATGGGCTGACAGTGTGGGGACGTGGTCAGGAAGGCCAACCACACCTTGTCCGCACATTGGGCCCTGTGGTGCATCCACAGATGCATCTCAAGCAGGTCCAAGGAGGTGATCCTCCACGTCTATGAGGCACTGGTCAGGCCACAGTTGGAGTACTGCATCCAGTTCTGGGAGCCACACTTCAGGAGGGGTGTGGACAGCATTGAGAGGGTTCAGAGGAGGGCCACTCACATGATCGGGGGCAGCAGGGCAGGCCCTACGAGGAGAGGCTAAGGGACCTGTTCAGCCTCCACAAGAGAAGGCTGAGGGGAGATCTAGTGGCCTGTTACAAACTAGTCAGAGGGGACCAGCAGGTATTGGGGGAGTCCCTGTTTCCCGAGCACTACCAGGAGTGACTAGAAATAACAGTCACAAGCTGGCAGAGGGTAGATTCAGACTAGACATCAGGAGGTGCTACTTCACAGTCAGGGTGGCTAAGACCTGGAACCAACTTCCGCTCAGGTCCCTTCCGACCCTACTAACTATGAAACTATGGGACTCTTCAGCCTGGAGAAGCGCAGGCTCAAGGGTGACTTGGTGGCAGCCTATAAGTACATAAGGGGTGTGCATCAGGATCTGGGGAACACCTGTTCACCAGAGCACCCCAAGGGATGACAAAGTCCAACGGTCACAAATTCCTGTAAGACCATTTTAGGCTGGACATAAGAAAAAACTTCTTTATTGTCTGGGCCCCCACGGCCTGGAACAGACTCCCTCCAGAGGTGATGCAAGCACCTACTCTGGACCCCTTTAAGAAACATTTGGATGCTTATCTTGCTGGGATCCTTTGATCCTAGCTGACTTCCTGCCCCTTGGGCAGGGGGCTGGACCCGATGATCTTACAAGGTCCCTTCTAGCCCTAATGTCTATGAAATCTATAAACAGCTTAAGAACAGCACTGGAAATAAATTATATGCCTAGGTATAATTTTCATTTTATGTTTACCTACTGCAAAACCACACTTCATTGACTAAGATTATTATGAGAATTAGCAAGCTCTTGCTTATTTGCAAATAAAGATTTTGACTTTATAGCATGCTTTCCTGAAAGAGCCACTGGGCTGATGATGTTGTTTTCAAGGATGTTTTCTTTAAAAAATACAACTTTGTAACCAATGCACCTTGTTATTGTTTACACTAACAGTGCTGAACCTGCAGCTCGCAGGCGAGATCTAGCCCCAAATATTGTGTCATCCAGCCTGCCAGGCTCCCCATGGATCTTTGGGAAGCCCTGCACATTAGATCAGGACTGCAGTGGCCACCTTCATCCCATGAGCCACTGGTGACCTCAGCTGGCGGCTCTTCCACAGAGCCGTCGTCATGGGCATGTATGTGCCAAGCTTCACAGACACCCCGGTCTCCTCCCCCTTCTGGGAAACCCTGGTGCTCATGACCCTTGAGTGTGCCAGGCTGCAGCCCCTCCTCCTTCACCTCCACCTCCAGAACTCCTCCTGAGGTTCTGGATGAATTTCACCCCCCACCTTTTTGTTTTTGGTCACCCCACCCACGGCCCCACCAAGTACCAGGACCTCCTGGTCAACCTCCTCCTGGCCACGGCCAAGTGGGTCCTGTACTTGACCAGGAAGGAGGCTGTAGCCAGGAACATGCCTGGAGACTGCTGGGCCACTTTCCTCTCACTTGTCTGTGCACGTTTCCA